ATTTATAAGTAAATTTCTATATTAAAAAATAATCTGGATAGCAGTTCCTTAAGCAGTCTTCTCAACTTTCTTCTATAATTTCTACAAAGTCACCCCAAAACATGAGAAACTTCTGATAATAATAAAACCTCATTTGTCAGAATCTGAAACAAAAATATACTATTATCAAGCTGACTAGACTCATCTGAGACTGACAATTGATATCTAATATGTATTTTATCAAATATAATGAACAAAATCAATGAAAGGAAAGACTTTGAAATATTTTATCTCTCAAGTTCTATATCCTCTAGTTGAACTTTCTGATATGAAATTCAAATGATAAATCACCCTTCCAATGTGCTTATATTTCTTTTGAGAAACCAGAGAACTGTTCTTTCATTACATTAGTATATCAAAGAAAACTGAAACATGAAAGGCCTAGGAACTAGTAAAAACAAAAGATAGCATTTAATCAACCACACAAGCAATTGCTGAAGCCTCTTGTCCTAGCTCAGTGCAGAGCTAACTGGTTAAGATATCAGATCCCAGTTTATCTCTAGAGAGGGAAAGAGACAGAGCATCTAATGGGTCTTCTCTGAGGGCTGTCCAAGGAACTGGTATCTGTTTCTCTTTTCTCTGAGCACTGATGGGATCCAGCATACTCTAGATATTTATAGGCTGCTAAGAACAAAGAAAGTAGGTTGGACTAACACATAGGTTTGAGAGCTCTCCAGAATCTGGCTGCAATTATTGGTGAGTGTCTTTTCTTCTAAAAGGGTAGTAGTGAAAACTGGCAAGGTGGTTGTTTTGGGTAATGTACAAACACCAACACAGAGAGTCAAGGAAAATGAAGATATAGAGAAATATGTTCCAAGCAAAGGAACAAGATAAATCTCCAGGAAGTAACCCTAATGAAATGTAAATATATAATTTGCCAATCAGCCTATTGAGATTAACCATCAAAAATATGCTCACCAAGGTCAGAAGAATAAAGCATGAACAAAGTGAAATTTCAATAAACAGAAAATATTAATAAGTGATAAAAAAAATACGGAGCTGAAAATATAATGGAGCTAAAAATGCACTAGAGAGTTCCAACACCAGACTAAATCGAGCTGAAGACGGGAATACTAAGTCAAATACAGGTCATTGTTGATTACTCAGTGAGAGGAGTAAAAAGAATGAAGAAAGCTTAAGGACCTCATGAAACATCTTCAAGTGGGCCAACATAGGCCTTATGGGATTCCAAACGGAGAAGGCACAGAGAAAGGACCAGGAATATTATTCAAATAAATAATAGCTAAAAATGTCCCAAATATGGGAAGAAAATGGAAATCAAGATTCAGAAAGACCAAAATATCCCAAAAAAGAGAAATCCAAAGATATACACAATAAGATACATTACAGCCAAACTGTCAAAAGTCAAAATAAAATAAATTTTGAAAGCAATGAAAGTCAAGTAAAGTGTCATATACAAGTGAACCCTCATGAAACTATCCATAGATTTTTCAGCAGAAGTCTTGCAGGTCAGAAGGGAACAGTTCGACATACTCAAAGTGCTGGGAGAAAAAATGACCATATTTTAGGGGAAAAAATGGTGACGTAGAAGCTCAGCTCCTCTGTCTTCCAACAAAGACCAATGACTGGGCATCTATCCATGAACAAAAGAAGCTATGGGAGCTCAAGGGTCCATTTAGGAAGTTTTAACAACATGGTGGGAAAAAAAACTGAGAATAATTGCAGAGAAAGAAAAGTAGAGAAAGAAGAGAACTGAATTTTGACTAAATCATCACTTCCCACAAGTGGCACTGTTCATCAACAAGAAGCAACTTCTCAGCATGAAAGAGTTCTGCTCACCAGGAAGGAAGAGTTGGGTGGGTGAGGAACCAGCTTTTCTAGCCTTCTGGGGCACTGTGGGAAGGTCTTGCTTTGGTTTCATGCCACCAAGACCAACAAAGCTGAGATATACAGAGCCAGCTAGAAACAAGGAAGAAAAGCAGAGCCTATTATTAGCAAATACGCAGCACAAGTAACTGTGGTTCACAGAGACCTGCTCTACAGACAAACTAAACAGATTATACAACCGAAGAAGCTAAAGGCCAGTTCAGCTGTCACAGAAACCCCCATTCCCAGATCACACCAGTTTTCCCACAATAGGTATTTTCATTAACTGATGACAGCCACCTGAGTCCCTTGCCACTCCATCCCCACTCCCCACCTGCCCCTGCCCTTGCCCAGCAGAGACCTTGCAGACAAGAATCCTGAAAAAACTTTTTAATTATGACATTTTTAAAAAGTAGAAAACATACATTCAATAAGAATAAGCATGTCATTAACAAACCCCAAAAAGACTATTCACTGTAGTTTGCACTGAACATTGTTTTAAGTTATTTGCTACAAGCCATTATAAAATAAATTATTTTCAATAGTTGGTGAAGTATGAATGCAAGACCTATTTCATTTCAAATAGGGAATTAAGGCCCATTGTGAATACAATTTCTAAAACCCTGCAGGTTTATTTAAGCCTTCTTCTTATAATCAGAATGCCCACTGTTTAAGAGTCATTTGTTTATTAAAAATCTAAACTACCACATCTACATTTATTAAAACAAGATAAAAGATCAATACTTGATTTTACTGGATCACTGGGCTTCTGAGACTTTTAACAAATTCATGATTTCAATAAATACCTGGAGATTTCAACTTGTGTATGTAAACAATTAAATTTTTGAAGTTGCAGAGATATAAAAAATTATACATATGAATTATACAGAGGACATTTATAGATATTATGTTGATAAGTAATTCTTTAATATATCTTTGAAAACTATGAGAACGTCTTAAAAAATGACTTTCTTAGTCAAAAAAATTTGATTAGCAAGTAAAAGGAATAAAATATATGGAAAGGATGTTAATGTAAATATTTCCAGTACTTTCTGAAATTATTCTATTCTTGTATTAGTGATAAAAGAGAAATATCATTGACATACCTCGTATGTTGCTGGACCAGGAGTAATCTCTTTGTAATCTTTAAAACGCTTTGATGTTTTAACAAATAAGGGTATGGAGCAAGACTTCCTTAAAACAGGATTGTATGTTGTAGGCCCTAAAAGAAAACAAATGTAAAAATAATAAAGTATGTTAAAATTATTGATTTTGATCACATAGTTTTTATTCTTAGATTCATTCTTCTAATATATAAATTTAGCATCATATAATCTTGGACCCATTCTTTGTGAATGCTTAAAATCATTTTGTTCAGGGCTTTGAAATATAAGCAGAAAATATGGCATCTGTTTATTAAATAACTAAATGTAATACAGAAAAAATTTCCAAGAAAAGTAAATAGTACCTCCTCAAGATAAATATACATCATGAAAAACATACCCAATTCTTTTATTTCCTAAATACTCATTAATATGTTCAGTGAAGAAGTAGTGTTTGTTTTGAACTGCATTTGAAAATACGAATAAGAGTTAAATAAGCAGAAAGGTGGTTTAACAGCATTCTAGACACTAAGCATTATAGAAGCCCAGGCACAAAGATGGAATTCACATGGAACAACAACTGGATATTGTAAACAGATTGGCTGAATGGAGTAGGACCTAATCCTAAATAGTAAGTTTGTACTAGAGCCAGTGGGTTTTAAACTGTATTCTAAAATGTTTAAAAATTCCACAGAAGTACCCAGGTACAATATGTAGTTAAAGCTCAAAGAGAAAAGACTTGAATTATTTTTATCCAAAAAAGCTCTAGGTTGACCGTTTTACTTAGGGGCCATGTAAAATTTTATTTAATGTAGGTTGTCCAGTAATTGGTTTTTAAAAGTTTTTGAAAACCAGTTCTATAGGCAGTGGGCAACTCTTGAAGGTTTGGGATTAAAGGAGATTCATGAAGAGAGAGATAGTTTTAGAAATAAACTCTAGTAGTATTTTATAGGATGGAATAACTTGAAGATGGTCTGTTTCAGGAACATTAACAAGGAATTTACTAACATTGATAAGAGAAAGGAAGAACAACTGAGAATATTTTTCTAAGAGATGCAACTAATATTTAGTATGTGATAAGAAGACAAGAGTGAAAAATGACTAAGTAAAAGGTAAAACTGTAACAGAAATAAGGAAATGGGATGTACCAAGAAAGGAACATCATGTGTTTGGTTTTCAACCAGATATGTTTGAAAAGGCATCAGGAAATCCAACAGAAAAGTCCAGAAGACAATTGGAGATACATAACTAAACCTCATTAGGAAAAAAAGTGAAATTTTTTTGTAGAAGTAACAGTTGAGTTATCTCTAAGTGAAAGAGCATGGAGAGAGAAAACTAAATAACAGAGGACTGAGACTCAGGTGGTTACCTCTAGGAAAGGAAGAGAAGCCTCAAAGGAGGAAATAGTCTAGTGAATAGAATCTGGCTAGTACAACAATCTAAAGAGAAAATAGGGAGAGGTTTTTTACTCCATTCACATTTAACCAATATTTATTGAATGTCTATCACGTGCCAAGCCTTGTACTTCAAGAGACTGTTAGATGTCTACTATACCAAATGTTTCAAGAGATTTTACAGGACAGTCACTGTAGAGCATGGAGAAGAGTGGTAATAAACAAAACCAAGTTAGAGAGCATTAATGAAAGACTGGGTGGAGAGAAAAGATAAAGCCTTTGAGCATAGAATATTGACAATGAACATAGACAGTGAAATACTAAAATAGATATGAAAATATTGATAGAACACAAAATTAGCTCCTCTATTTCCCTAGTAAATATGCAATTTAAAACCACCGACTTTGAAGAATAGATTTCTATTGATGTTCTAAAATATTTTAGAATTGAAAGATTCAGATAAGACCTGTTTTAATGCTTTAACTTCATTAACATAGGACATTTCAAAATTAAAATAAAAGATGAGATTTGGCTCCAGTCCAATTATTCTAATATCAGTTCAATTAATAGGTTACATCTCCAAAGTTATCAAGCCCTTGTGGGAAGCTGCCATGAAATGAATGTTTATGTTCCCCCCAAATTCATTATTTGAAACCCTAATCCCCAGCATAATGATATTTAGGTATGGGGCCTTTGGAAAGTAATTAAGTCACAAGAGTGGAAATCTCATGATGAAAATAGTACCCTTATAAAAATAGACATGGGGGAGAGTTATTTTCTCTTTCTTTCTGTCTCCCTTATGTGTGCAGACATCTATCTTCAAACCAAGAGGGCCCTCTCTAGGAATGGAGTTGATGGACACTTTATGCACCTTTATCTTGGACTTCCTAGACTCCAGAACTATGAGAAATAAGTGTCTATTGTTTAAGCTACCCAGTCTATGGTATTTTTGTTATAGCAGTTAAAATTGACTAAGACAGAAACTAATGTGTTTTGATCTACCAATTGACAAGTGTTGTAGCAAATGATTTCTTACTATAAAATGACAGTATGCATGACTTTAGAATAATATAAATCATATTTATAGTACAGAGAAATAATACACATACATACATAGTATCTTTACAAATAGATATGTACAAACTAAGCTATGCATGAGAAAATGTATCATTACTATGGTATCCAGAAAAGAACATAAACTATTTTCAGAAACTAGGGGCACAATTCTACAGTTGATTAATTAAAAATAGCGACTTACACCATAAAGATTTTTAAAGGTTAATGCAACAAGACTATTATCCAAACACAACTGTAATGGTGAGTTTCATTTTTAATTATGAGGAAATATAGTCTATCCCATGCCTTACCATCATGCTACAGCAACTGACTAATATTTGCATTTATGGTTATAACTCATTAAAAGACAAGAAAACATTCAAATGTAGTTGTAGTGGATTTCCTTTTATTGGAATTCCTTTGAGGAGCATTAAGTGATGCAAAACTTCTCTAAATATGCATCTTGCTGCATTTTAAAACAGCCTGATTTAGCTACAGAGCGTTAAAAAAGGTTTCTTGCACTTAACCTTAAAATATATTTCCAATTATGTATGTTACTGCTTATATAATATAGGCCAAAGATTTACTTTGCTTCACCAGCTCTCCTTCACAGCTGGATTATACAGAAACAATCTTCTATTTATTTACCAAAATGCCACATTTTAATCACAGGTCATGGAAGAAAAAAACCTCTCATTCCAAATCAAACACCTATGAAAACTCTGCCTGAATCATGACTATTGTATAATGGAAAATTCAAGAGTAGGTGATTCTTATAATTACTTATTTTCCAGCCCTATGCCAACTCACTCTCTATAAAATGTCAACCAATGCTACAGGGCAAAAAAGGAAGAGAACAGGAACAATGAGTTATTTAAAATAAAAATCATTTTAGTACCTTACAGTGGACTCAGAAATAACTAACTCTATAAATAAAGCTTCAAAATCTCAGATTTAAAAACGACTATCTTCATAATGACCCAAAACTTATAAATGATGAAGCCGATTTTGCTTATCAATACTGCCATTTTTTCATGTAAAGGTGAAGGAAAATTACTGAAAAGTAAATATCCTATACATGAACATATCTTTAGGATTTAAAAAACATCTAGGAAATTGTTCATTGAAATGGACTGCATGGCTTTAAAATATCATTTAGAGAGTTTAGACTTTTGTGGAGCACATTTTCCCACATTGATTTTATTCTTCGGCTCTATGAATGAAATAATAGCAAAGACAAAAGATTAGTGCACAAGGAAGAGTTATTATCATCAATATCAAAGCCACATTTAGATGTAACATTCTCCTGCTTCTAGGACTCAGTTTGATTAAGTGGCACTTCAGATTATGACCACAGAACTGCACAGTATATTAAATTGAGCTTATAGGTGATGATAAAAAAAGACAAGAGTCCCAGTAATGCATAAACTTTTAACCAAAATTTCCATGTATGTTTTACCATCCTGTTAACTTCTCTGTCCAAGAACAAAATGGATATTACTTGTTTAGGAAAGTATATCTTAAATATTAATAATGATATCTTAAATTTACTATAGAGTTTTCAGGAATTACTGCCAATACAACAGTTCCTAAGAAATGGACTATTAATGCACTCCAACCTAAGTAGACTGAGAACTGTATCAATTGGAATCTACCTAAATCACCCAACTGTTCATAGCATTGATGAATCAGTAGGTCTGCCACTCCTAATGGCATATAAAAACAAATTCACATGGATTTGGCTAGACGGAAATATTTCTTCAGATAGCAACATCTATTTATCTGTGTGCCTCTAAATACATACTTATCAAAATGTGCATCCACATGCCCTATCAAATGAAGTTTTCAAACTGCTCCTATAAAAAAGATACTTTCACTCTCTGATAATGCAAGAAGATTGTACAAATTTCAATGACTTCCATCAGTCTTGTAAATGTAGGCATAACACCTTTTCTGTATGAATTACAGGAGCCAACTGGAAGGAAGGATGATTATCCTTCTCCTACTACCACTTTGAGTAAGTAGCATATAAATATGTAACACATGAATGATTTTTGGTGATGAATGAATAAGGCTATCCAATAATCAGTAAATCTGAAATTGCTTTTGAAGTACATAAAATACCTCACAACTGGCCTGACAGAGGAGCAAATTTTCCTTTCATAACTGAGTTTTCGTTTTATATTCTATTGTTCATATTTAAAGGCTTGGAGCCTAAGTTACAAGAAAATTATCTAAGCAAAAAGTAGAGTAAGTGTCAACATATATTCCAAGTCCTCTTAGATCACCATCATTATTTTAACACTCAGTTAGGGCTAAATTAGTAAAGTATTCCCTCTTAAGACTCTTAAGACTGGCACTTATCTCTGTGAATATTATGTGTAAAAATCAGGATAATACTCTGTGTCTTTGTAAAACATGTCATATCATAGATCAAATTATGTAGAGTGCTTTAAATATAAATACCAATTTTGTTTTTAAAATAATTAAAACACTGTATTAATATTAAACAATTCTTTAAAGCCAAATTATAGTAAATAAGCTATGATTTAGAGCAAATAATTTTTAAACAACTAATTTTTACCATTTTAATTGTGACTATTTGCATTTTCCTTAACTTGCTGAAAACCGTTAGGCTCCTAAGTGTGTTTGAATTTGAAACTGTCTTT